TTTATATATTTACTTTATTCTTCGGTAACTATTATTTATTTTTCATTTTACTGCATGGCATTAAATATCATTAATAATAATATTCATCAAATAATTGTGTCTTTTCTTTCACGTACACAGCTCGCGTATACATCATTAAGAACATGGCCAATGTATATAGTCCTTTCTATGATTCTCATTTCAGTTAATAAAATAGTTACGTACGAGTAACTTAACTTAGTCATAAAATTATATGTCATTTGAGAGAAGAATTATTTCCTTTACATATACATATTTTTAAGAATCGAGGCTCACTATTTAATCATATATCATAAATAAACTATTTAAATCCTTTAAATGCTTTCCTAAAAGAATAATTTCAATATATTATAAATCTTATAATTTACTCAGGTCATTCAATTTAACCAAAAATTTAATTATTTCATTTCATATTAAGATGAACAGAACAAAGAAGTCAATGTTAAGCCACGTAATCATTTTCAATAACAATAACATAATCACATAACAAAAGACAGATCAAAATACAAATTGCGATCCCAGCTGCGTAAGCGATTTGTGACACTTTTGTTTTCAATTCCAAAGTACGTTTATGGGAAAGTTTGCGATTACATCGTATGATGTTATTATTACATACATATATGGATACGTGTAAAATAATAGATTTATTTTTATGATTCTTATTTATACATAATTTTAGATAGTTACTTTAATTTTACATCCATCAAAAAAAAAAATGCGTTATTTTTTTTTAATTACAATTTCTGGGAGTATGATATTTACTATATCGTTTACAGAAAATAATTGAATAATCACTGTAACACATATCAACTTTACACAACAAAACATTAAAATTTAAACATTCAAAAGAACAATTTTTGTTTTTAAGTAGGTTATTACATAAATTTAAGGTCCTTGCTTTTATAAAAGAAAAGAAAAGCTAACACTTATAATTAATACTTAATAGTTTTAACTCTTTTCAAATTGAATCTTACATTTAAATAAAATTTACTATAGGAAAAAAAAACATGTGATATAGAGATATAAGGAAATGTGTCAATGAGAAGGACACGTTTTGCTTACTCGGTTCAATAGTTTAGCTTGATTTATTTTTTATTTTTACATTTAGTTAACTATTAGGTATTTATTTAACTTCTTTATCAGATATTCTTTATTACAAAATTTTACCATAACTTTCAAAATGTTTTATTATGAATACACTTAAAATGTATCTGAAAATTCTGGCATTAAACACCTTTTAATTTACGTATTAAATATTTTACATTGCATTGTGTCATAATAAATTTACATACATTACCAAGTATTCATTATTATAAATGTTATTTATCATTAAAAGTCGTAAACGCATTAATACCTTTTTAAGATTACATGACTCCTAAGAAATGTGTTTATCTCATTTGAAATATAGATTTATGAAAACATAGGTTATTACACAAATATAAGTTTATATAGCAAAATATATGTTTGTATAGTATTTTTGGTATATAATAACATAATATTTGGTTTTATTGTCTATAAAAAAAAAAAATATTACATTATGAAACTTATATAAGTAATAGCGGATCGATACTGTTTCGACTTGATTTTAAAAACAATATATTAACCAAATTTAATTGAAAATTGTTCAACTTTTACATAAACAAAAAAACATAACATAAAATATAAAATTCAAGGTTAAATTATTATTTTAAGGAAAAAAAATCTTGTAAATTCATATAAAATATACGCGAAATATATGCGCGAAAATGTTTTTTTTTTCATATTTAATTATTGATGTTTTTGTGTACATGCGGTTGTGTGTCTATAATTACAACATGTTTAATTTGTGAGTATTAAATAATTGTTAGTTGGCTGAAATGTGCGCCATGCACTGTACTTTATTGTATAAATATAATATTTATACTCTACTCTGATTACGTTCGTATCTCTAATTTATTTCAACATCTCCTTCCTATTTTTTTTTTATTATGTTGAATTTTGAACTTTGATTAATTGATTCTATATAATACGAAACAATCTTTTATAACTATTCATTATTTTTATAACGTAATTATTATTATTACGTGTATAATATGTACCTATTGCAATAATAATTTATATTATGATTTTATTTTATTTTAAGCCCTATACTCTAAATTATTGCGATTATGGATAAAGTATATTATTTGCTATATGATTATAACACGTGTATTATATTAGGTATTTATTTAATTATACATGCAGTTATGTGGATCGATCCTATAGGTACTACATGTGCAACTAGTAGGTAGCATTTTGGGTAGCATCCTAGTAAAGAAATGCAAATAACTACCTATCTCACTTTATAGATTTGGTCGGGGATCCCCTTAATACCGTGTATGTAACTCATTTTATTTTTTGTCATGTCCTTTTATGATTTTAAATTTTCTCATTTCATTGTACTTATTTTCATACCAGTACGACTACTCCTATTTACTTTGTTTAAATTATTAGGCCTTAAATTATACATATATGTATTTATATTTTCTTTTATATATCTTGTATGTACATACTTTCTTTCCTTTCATAATAATTTATTATTTTTGACCTTTTAGCTAGCTTAATTTGTTTTTTGTAATTCTATTCACTTATATATTTATTTATTAATTAGATATCGGGAATCGGAGTATTAATTCACTTCATTTATATTTTATTTCGTGATATTTATCACGCGGGTACTTTATAAATATGGGCCCCCCATTTACTTGGGTATTATATTACATTTTCATAACATTCATTTCATTTTATTGGTACATTAACTTTTTTTTATCATACTATCTCAAGGTAGAACTGTACCTTGGGTTGTGCGCACAACCTTGAGGTCAACTTTTAAGTCATTTTAAAAGGACTCCAACAATTGTCACGGAGGAAAAATAAGTTCACACTATGATCCAATGAAGGATGTGACCCCTATGTACCATTATTAAGGGTAACAAATTTAAGACTTCTCTGGTCCCCAACAGTACTAATATGAGTAAACTCGTTCACATCTCATTTGTACTGAAGGTATTGTTCCCTAGTACCCGTTACTTCCGATTTTATCATCCAATCATGGAAACATACCCTGCTCGAGGACTATATGCTTTACCAGTGATGGACGTTCCCGTATCTCTCCATGATTTATTTATCAAGGTCATTATAATATGTTTTATTTCTATTCTCTTAATAAACAATTTTGCTTCTTTATTTATACATGACCCGTGTTTTTTTTTTTTTATTACATCTTAATATCTGTTTGGGTGTATCGGGTATTTTTATTCACTTGCATGCTCCACTTCCATATACTAATTTGCATTATTCTCGCTCATAATGAGTTCCATACCAAGAGTTTAAGCATTCATCAATATTTGGGTGATCAGTCCAATATTGAGGAAACTTAGCAACTCGATCATTCGTATTCACACTTTCGAACATTCTTTTCTTCCATTCCTCATATCTTTTAATTACATACATTCTAATTTTGTACAAATTGGATAACATTTTTGTCAGTCTATTTTTTTTTTGCCGTTTTTAACTGTTAGGGAACATTATTATTAAACCTCTTAATTATTTTTATTTTATTTTACAGTATTTCATTATTTTCATATTTATGTTACACGTTATTATTATTTATATTTATTATTATCCACGTGTTTACAGGTCATTTCTTATTTATTTTTTGATATTATTATTTTCGTCTTTATTAGAATGTTGTTATGATTTATTTTTATGCACCTGTTCATATATCGCATGTTGCTCTCTATTGTTTTAAGATAAGCTCATTGCATAACATGTCATATTTATATATATATCATTCATAAGAAAAGTTTAGCATACTTATTATATTCACTGTGTAAAGATTGTTACATTTGAATTTTGAATTGAAATTGAATTTAACTTATCCAGATTAGTTTGTGGTCGTTAAAAGAAAAGTGTTATTTTACTATAAAATATGAAAAAATTAATTTATGATGAACTATAGTAAATTTACGGACATAAAAATGTAATAAATCACATTATTTCATTAATTTTTGCACGACACAGTTATAAAATAATATAAGACAATAACTGAAAAAAGTGAATATAAAATCGTCTTGTACCTTAATAAAACATGCCACAGAAGTGCATACATAACTTAATTTATAATTATTGCTTTTTAATTATTTTTTCAGATACAGTAATAAAATATTAAAAAATCAATTGAATCGTAAATTATCTGATAATTACTTTCAATTTAAACATAGGTGTATTAAATATAGAATATTTAATACTTAAATTCATAAAATATAATAGCAAAAAGAACATAAAACAATCACAAATTGATAAATAAAGTTTTAGATGGAGATAAAATCACAAAGGTGGGAAGTTACCTCTTAATATCTTCTTTGTACTTTCTGACTCAAATTTCACATTCTTCTGGGCTAAGCTTCCTAGGGTACAACTGCTGTTCCTTTCTTCATTATACTTCTCATAATTATCAATATTAAGTATTTTATTCTTCATATTACCTTTGAAATTTTCATAAAGTTTATCTTTTTAAGTTGATCTTCATTAGTTTATTAAATACTTTCTGTAATTTTCTTTAAAAAAATAGTAATATCAGTCCTTTTCTTATATTCTTATTATTTTTCGTCACGTCCGGTATTGCCGTTAATATTTTTTCATAATTTAATTTAGATTTCTTATAATATTTTTTTTTCTTTTAAGTAATAGGCCGCGGCGGTGCGCGTGCATTGTCGCAGCGCACCGCCTGGCAGGGTCGCCATGTAATGTCGGAACTCGGAAGGTGCTGAATGAAGGAGACGTGTTGCTTGTATAAGAACTTTAATTATACTGTCCTCTATTCTATACTTAATACTAATTTTATAAATGTATATTGTCGGAGGTAAAGGGGAGTCTACAGGGCACTACAACCAGATTTTCACGCGATGTAGCAACAGTTAATTTAGTATTGTTTATCGAATCATTTGAAGTACATCAAAATCATGAATCGTGTTTATGAAAGTGGTGCTGCAAAAAAACGAAAAGCGAAAGAAGAACAAAAGAAAATAGACAAGTTACCAAAAATTACTGGATTTTTAAAACAAGATGACATTACTAGTAAGTAATACTATACAGGGTAATTTTTAATTTACTGAAGACCTTTTGGGAATATATTATTTATATCATAACAACAACATCTGTAAGAAAAGAAATTATATTTCTTCAATTTTTATTTTCATACAAAAATAAAAATATTTTAATTGGACCTTCTAAACGGCAATAGTCCTAAATAGCTAAATAAAGCGCGTGGCGGGGTAGGGGTGGAGGGGTGTAGGAGGCGGCGCTTGCTCATTTGAACTTGACCTAATTATCTGTGTCGTCAGTCGGTCAGTCGCCTTTTGTGCGCCCGCGACTTTTCTCCTTCCGTTGTGAGATTAATATCGCGAACGTTACGCGTTGTTACAATGGCATACCGATACTCAAATATTGAGTATACCGAAATGGTGCGAATTTTAGCAATTTGCAATGATAACGTTAGTGAAGCCTGCCGTGAATATTCAAGGCGATTTCCCAACTCACGTGCACCGAGCTACGCTACGATGCTAAGTACTACACAGCGATTGCGAGATTACGGGCAATTCCAGCCTGTATCAATCGATCGTGGTCGTCCACCGCGGCGCACAGTACGTGAGCAAGAAGACATACTGCAGTTTTTTGAACAAAATCCAGCAGCGAGCACTTATGAGGCAGCCCGACAGTTCAATGTGTCACAGTACTACGCATGGAGTGTTACACACAATGAAGGGAAGTACCCTTTCCACTTGCATTGTGTTCATGAACTCAGCGAAGCTGCCAAACCAGCGCGAGTTACATTTTGTAACTGGTTACTAGCTGCTGAACGAGCCAACATTTTATGGACTGATGAAGCAACATTTGGCAGAATAGGACTATTTAATTCGCACAATGAACACTTGTGGTGCTATGAAAATCCACATGAACCAAGACCGCATAGCTTTCAACACCGGTTTAGTGTCAATGTGTGGGCAGGCGTCATTAATACAACGTTACTGGGCCTAGGTTAGTCTAATTTTTAAATTTGTATTTTAATATTTTTATTGAACCTTTATACCTTAATATCTTTATTCAATTACTGTTAATTTGTATTTAATCATTATAAATATTTTATTGTAATATTTGTAATTATTTTAACCTGCTTCCATTTTTTAAATACAACTTACATTAAATAAAAAAAATAGTTAATAATACTCATTTAATTTGCACGTGCTGCAAACATCGATCACCAAATCGATGCCTGCAAACCGAAAAGGGCAGGCGGCGCCTTTGAGGACGGTGACACCTGTGTCGACGTTATAATATATCGTTGGCTTGGCCTTGGGCCGCCGCATGTGCGACGTTGAGGCGTTGCCTCTTGGATGCAGGCAGAGTTGCTAGCAAACAGTATTCGTAAAAAAACTACCTAAATGTCTATTAAAGAATGTCTATTAATTCTTAAAGAAATTAATAAAAGAATCAAATAGTTCATCAAATGGTTTTATGCAAAATAAATAATTATATGAAAAGTTAATGTAAAGTCATTTTAAGTGGCGCCCTGGTGCAATAGGCACAGTGATGAATGGTTTAGTAGGCTCTCGCAACTAGGGTTACCATATCTCAGGATTTGTCCTGAGATTTCAGGATTTTTAGACTTCTCAGGATTGCGGCTGGATTTTGCAAATCTTATGAAATCTCAGGATTTTTAGAACGTTCAATATAATACAGCTTACATTTTAAAGGATCTCTTAATAAAAAGTTAAACAAACTAAAAATAATTTTCCTTTGGTAATAATTCCACAATTAAAATAAAAACTTATTTATCCAAGTAGGTACTTAAACAGTTTTATCATACTTAATATGTGAAGATACCTTTTTAAGTAAGGTTTTCTTCTCAAACTGTAAAACAATCTCAGGATTTTTAAATGGAAATCAGGCCTCTTCTCCGGACTTTTAATTTTTTCATCTGGTAACCCTACTCGCAACGCAATCAGCTGAGCGCGGGCGTCGACCGGCCCTTCGGTCATTCTTACTTATTATAAATTTTAATATTTGTGGTTTTTTTTTGAATGTCATTTGCTCATTTAATTATGTTTAATGATTTCAACACAATGTTTGATACTGTATCAAGTGTAAAAATGCCTTATTTAGGCATTTTCTTTGACGATTTATTCTGACATTGTTTAGGTACTACAAAATACAGACTTAAAAGGAGTCAGACATGACAACAAAACCTTAAAAGTAGTTTTTTCGTAAATGTATTATATTATGTGAAGAGTGATCTCACTAAAATTGTTTGTAATGATGTAACCAGTATATTCCCAAAAGGTCTTCAGTAAATTAAAAATGACCCTGTATATTATTTGAATTAAGAGTGATTAGTTCATTAATTGAGTCCTATAACCTCATTGTTGTTCGCATGTAGCAAAAGTTTTTTTATGAAAAGTCGATTTAATATCATTTTTATGAAATTAATTTATGAAACAAACCGTGCTAACAGTATGATAATAAGATCATTGCATTTTATTTATTAGGCAAAAATGATGAAACGCCAAAAGGTACCGCTGATTTACAGGAAAATGTTATTCAAAACGAATCAGTCGATTTGAATCCTTCAGAACAGTCGGAATTATCAGTAGCTACACAAGTTCTTATAAATCATAGAACAGAAGGTAAATAAAGAGTTTCAAATTGTAAATATTTAGATTCTAAAAAAGCTGAATAATTTTAAATATTTTTTTCAATTAAAAGCGATTTACAAAAATATATTTTATTTTAATAGAGGAGGCAGCATTGAGAAGCACGTCAGAAAAAATTGAAAGTTATTCGACTGATATTGCGTTATGGGGCGAAATCAACGAGAAGTTACGATTATACTGGTTGCAAAAAAATCCAGGTTTATGCAGCAATAAGGATAAAGATTTCTCAAAATCTGCACGGATTTACCAAGAAGGAGATAAACAAAAAGTGAGAACTCTAAACAAATCATTATTTCAATTGAAACTACAAAATAATGAAAGTAGAAGTAGAGCGTGAGTGGTTATCGTATTCGCCATCAACTGGACGTATATATTGCTTTGTATGTCGACTTTTTTCATCTGAAAAAGATCAATTTACATTTTACGGATTTAATGATTGGAAACACCCAGAGCGAATTACGGAGCATGAGCAAAGCAAAGCTCATAAACAAACTTTAACTATTTATTCTAAACGGAGAAGAGAAACTGGTAGTTTAGAAAATGCATTAACGATTCAACAAAAAAATGAGAAAAATTATTGGATTCAAGTATTACGTCGAATAACTGACACTATAAAGTTTCTTGCTTCACGAGGTCTCGCTTTTCGAGGGGAGAACGAACGATTCGGATCTAGTCAAAATGGCAATTACTTAGGTATTTTAGAATTACTGAGCGAATATGACCCTTTCCTTAAAGAGCACATTAATACCTACGGAAATAAAGGACATGGAGTAACATCATACTTATCAGCTAATATTTGTGAGGAATTTATAGGCCTTATGGGGGAAAAAGTTCTTGCTTGCATTATAAGTGAGTTGAAGAAGGCAAAATATTATTCTTTTTCTGTGGATTCTACGCCGGACATCGCTCATCTAGATCAATTAACGTTCACCGTGCGCTACGTTACCGATCAGGGGCCTATCGAACGTTTTTTAATGTTCGTTCCTATAGAAGGTCATAATGCCGAATATTTAACAGAGGTTGTAGTCAAATTTTTTAAAGATAATGATATTGATATAAATGACTGTAGAGGTCAATCTTATGACAACGCATCGAATATGTCTGGACGCTATTCAGGACTGCAAACCAGGATAAGGGAAATCAATAAGTATGCTGATTATATTCCTTGTGCCGGGCACTCGTTAAATTTAGTCGGCGTTAAGGCAGCTGAATGTGTTAATGCAGTCGCTAAGTATTTCTATATCGTACAAAATTTGTACACATTTTTATCAGGATCGACTTATAGATGGCAAAAACTATTGTCATATTTAGGAACGAAAAAAAAAAGTCGTTAAATCTTTATCCGCTACTCGATGGTCAGCCCGAGCTGATGCAATCATCGCTCTTTTCACAGGTCATACAGATATTACGAAAGCTCTAGATGATTTATCAAAGGATGATACGCAGTCTAACGAGACTAGACTTGAAGCTAAGACCATTTTAAAGCAAATTACAAAATTTGAAAATGTCTTTATAACTGTGGTATGGCACGAAATCTTGACACGTATTAATGATACATCTAAAAATTTACAAAAAGAAAATATGGATTTGTCTTTTAAATTCCTTAGAATTGTATTTATTGGATATCAGGGATAAATTCGATGAGTTTTTAGAAAAAGCAAAAAGCTTTACTGATATCTGCGAAAGTGAATCTACATCTGAGCCAAGAAATCGAAGAAGAAGCGTAAAACTTACTCGCTTTGAAGGAGAGAGTGAACATACACAATTTACTGGAGATGAAAAGCTCAAAATAGAGATTTTTTATCCGATAATCGATTCACTTTGTTCCAATTTGAAAACCAGAAAAACTGCTTACGAAACGGTGAATGATAACTTCAAGTTTTTTACTGCTCTACCAAACATGACATACGAAGGAATAAAAGAATGCTGCGAAAAGCTTGCCAGAAAATATGATCAAGAAATTTCTGCAGAAAATTTAATATCAGAATGTTTACATTATAAACATTATCTTCGTGATACACGAAAGAACGAAGAATTATTTATTCCTGATCTATACTTGCAACTGAAGAAAGAATTTCTGACGTCTACATTCCCAAATATTGAAATAAGTCTCCGAATATTCCTTACCCTAATGATCACCAATTGTGCTGGTGAACGATCATTTTCTAGATTAAAGTTGATAAAATCCGATCATCGAAGCACAATGTCACAGTCACGATTGAATCATCTAAGTTTAATGAGTATAGAATCGGACTTATTAAAATCGATTGATTTTGATGAACTCATATCTAATTTTGCTGCGAAGAAATCGAGAAAAAAAGTTTTTTAAGCTGTATATAATTACTGTTATTTTAGTGCAAAAATAAATTTTTAAACAAATTTTCTAAATCTTGTTTCTATTTTACCAAGTGTGTGATTTGATATTTTTCTTATTATGTTATAAAATTTGTTGTTGTATATCGAAAATTTTCAGAATTGTGGGGCCCCTGCATACCTCGGGGCCTCGGGCCAGGGCCCTGCGGGCCCTGCCTTAAAGACGGCACTGATGGTAGTGGGTACTATCAGCTGGCATGCTGTAGGGTTGCAGCATGAGCCAAAAATCTGTTAGTCGAGTAATACATGCTGTTAATCAAAAATTATACATAATATGAAATTCCCTATGACCCACGAAGAGCGACGAGCAGCTAAAGAAAAAAATTAATATGCCCAACAGCAATTCCCAGATACATTTGGAGCCATAGACTACATAGCTCCAAAACTGCATAACCTCTTTATGCAGTTTTGGAGCTAAGTAACTAATGAACTAACAAATATAAGTGTTCAACGTGAGGGCCATTCATTAAATATACAAGTTGTAAGTTTATCTGCAGTAGTTATTTTTTACCTATTTATTTGCTTGAACATATGAACAAAGTATCTTTCCCGTATTATTGACAGTAAGAAAAGTGTTATTGAAAAAACATTTCACTCAGTAGTTTAGGTCAAATTTAAATAATACTTAAATAATACATAAAAAAATAACTTACTTAAATAGTCTTAAGGGCTTACATTATAATTTTAATGCAAGTACCTAGTTCCACTCTGGAACATCATTAATAATTAATATATTTATTTACTTATTTAGCACAAATAGGTACATCTAATTAAGTATATTTTAGGTGTGTGACAAGACTTATTAATTTTAAACATCAACACTAAATGGCCAGGAGCTAGACACAACGCTCTCATTTGGGCAAATTCACTTATATGCTCAACCATGAGGTGATATTTTGACAATGGGGATCACCGTACATTTACTTGATGAGTTAAAGTTTATTTGGAAGAAAATGTCTATAAGGCCTCCAAATGCAATTTCAATGTTTAATCTTTTAAGTGATGATGGATATCTCTATCCTCTGGAGCCATGGTTGATGACCTCAATGAAAAATCACTGCCTTGGGAGCCAGACACATAAAAATATTCTTTGGTAAACTAGTTTGTTAATAGGTGTCTATCTCATAAACGCTAGTTAATGTATGAGCCATACACTGCTGTCCTAATAGTCAATGCATATGCAGTGCTACACATCATGCATATTAAATTCAGATTGATGGAACCATATTTCACCACATCCACAGAAATAATTGTTCATAGCTTCAATGATGATGGCCTAGAAGATATAGGTGATCATGTTGTTTGAGACATATTAGATTAGACTATTTTGTCTTTATTATATTAGAATAATCTTAACATTTTATGTTTTTATCACAGGACAAATGACTGGTACTGGGCAAGCTGTAGCAGAGTGTGTACAAAGATGACTCATAAATACTGTTTTTACTTCATTATCTATAGTAATAATGTGTGAATTGAAACAAAACATTAAACATCTCAATTTATTTATTATTTTTATTTCACAATACAATTAATGCATCTCTTATTTTACTGCCCAAATAAAAGAGACAGACGCCTCAGCTTGCACTTTGGTTGCCTCCGCCTGCATTTTGGCAGCCAGCATCTGTAACGAAAAATATAGATAGTTAAATGCTTGTAAATTTTTTAGCATGCTGGTTTGCAGATTTTTGTTCTTACTTAATCATGCTATAACGGCAGAAGAGATTCATAGGAAAGGAGGATGGCAAGAATGCATGTATTTTGGGACCCACTGATAGGAGTAGCGTTCATCATGGAAACTTATTAATAGTTGTAGATCGTGACAAAACTAACAAAAAAGCAAATGGGATGAAAGTCTAAAAAAGTGGGAGAAAAAAGATATACTTAAAAATAGCAAATAACCTAAAACTAGAAAATAACCTAAAATTATTATTCAAAAAAGGATCAGGATCATGCCAAATGGAAGTTCGGTGTCTCAACCTACCCCTCTGGGTGACAGGCCTGACTGTTTGTGTGTATTATTCAAAAAACACTCATTATGGGTATATGTTATTGCTCAATTGTATCTGAATATTATTTGTATTGAGAAGTACATATAAGTACCTATAATAAGTACTTTTATATGTATATAGGTGACATGGAAGTACTAAAGTTTATTCCATAGTCAATGGTATGTTGTTAGTAATCAAACTTTTAACACATAATTATTTATGTTGTCTTTACTTAATTACTGCTTGCTAGAAGAGAGATGTAAAAGGTTGACCAGCTGTGGGACAATTTCGATTATTGAAGAAAAGGTACCTACTTTTACTTTAAATACAAACTAGTTACAATGAGGAAAGCAATAACAATAAAAACATTATAAGGGCTGTAATGTCAAAAAATGTCTGGTGAACAAAGTATACATAATCACTACATTAATTGGCAAATAATGTTCTGCTAATGCAAGATAACCTATTTTTTTAATCAATTAAATAATTTAATTCTTGTGACCCGTATTCTAGTCCAAATATTTTTTACATAAACTTATAATTATAATTAATATAACATTTTTTTCATTGTCCTTTGGCACATAATATATAGAGCATATCCTGGATTAACACAGGATACTTCCCATCTCTGATATAGTAGATAAAACAGAAGAGCACAGAAATATATAATGTAAGTAGGCATTAAATGAATAACAAAGCTCATACTTACTTATTTGTGGTGCTGGTGACTGCATTATTATTTCATGCACCTGTTGTTCAGTGGTAATGCCTCGAATGCCAGTCTTTATCATTTCTTTCCTTAACTTTGTTGCTTTAGTGAGCCCCGGCTTTTAGTCTCTACATACCTACAAAATAAATCATTATGTATTCAAGTATTTATCTTGCATAATTTCATGTTTAATCTTAATATTATTGTCGATATCATTTCGTATTGTATAGACATAATTTAATGTCAAGGTAATAACAGTGAATATACCTGCCGGCGACTGTGTCAATACCATATTATCTAAAATCAATTTTAAATTACGGTGATCTACTTACATAAAATGACTAACCTTATCGATATTTCTGAAACACAAAAAACAATAGAAGCTACACTTCGAAAAAGAATGGATGACTTTGAGCAGCAACTTGGCACTGCCTCAACCAAACCAGAAAATCTTGTTCAGATTAATAAAGAATTTAATGCTTTTCGCGACTATGTTCAGGAGATCTTCAAGCTAATGCGACAGCAAATTTATGAGGTGAGCCAGTTAGCCGATTCATTGGAAATGAGACACCGAAAGAAATACCTTATCCTTAGTGGAGTACCTGAAAAGGCTGATGAGAATACTGCTGGTATTGTTACCACAATATTAAAAAACAACCTTGGTCTCAACGATATTACACCCTCGTCCTTCAAAGTTGCACACAGACTTAGATCGGCATCTACGGGCCATAGTAGGCCTGTACTTTTTAGACTTTTTTTTTTGGAGTTTATGGCCTGGTATCTAGACCTTTAGGCCATACCATTTTGTACATTTAAATAGGTGTTACCAAAATAGGGTTAATTATGATAATCTATTGAGGCTATTATCATCTTATTTACAATACATGCCAAAAATAGATGTTTTATTTCAAACAAAATTGTTCTGCCACTGCACTTTGCCTTCGTTTACAAAGTAATTTTGAAACTCTTGTCTGATCATTTTAGCATCATTAGTTATGTTACCATGATTTCTTCGTTGTAAAATTTCCATGTTCGACCTTGCAGTAGTGTACCCATCGGTAACAATTGTCCCGTTAAAGGTGTTTTCTTGATAAAAACATTGTCGAGGCGCATAAGAGTTGGGTACATGCTCCATTAAAAAATTGTGTAAAGCGATAGTAGCCATCACTACATTCTGTATATTTTTTGGCTCTAAGTTTGAGTACGGAAAATGCGAAATCGTGAAGATAATATGCCAAATGCGTTCTCAACGACATTTCTTCCGCGAGATAATGTATAGTTAAACATTTTTTTTTCGTGGGTATTTAAATCTCCTTGGCGATATGGCTTTATCATATCGGTTCTCAAAGGAAACGCATCATCACCAATAAAGACGTACGGTAAACATCTTGAGCTGCCTTCGATATTTTCGGGGTTTGGAATATTTAACTTTTTATTTTGCAACTTTTTGAAAAACTTAGTATTTTGTAACACTCCTCCATCGGAAACTCTTCCATTTGTTCCAAAATCAGCTAGTAAAAACCGATATCTTGCGTCAACTATCGCCATGAGAACCATGCTGTGGCGTCCTTTGTAGTTGTAGTAATAAGACCCGCTGTCAGCAGGAGGAATTATATCAACATGCTTCCCATCTATTGCCCCAAGACAATGAGGGAAATTCCAAATTTCTTCAAACTGGTGAGCAATTTCTCTCCATTTATTAGCAGTATCGGGCAACTGTAAAAAAGCATCACAACTATTACATTTTGACAAAAGTAACACATGTCTCTGCCCCTACTAAAGAGATTTAGGAAACATGAAAGTAAAATTGATAATTATATTAAGTATATATCTAACTATCTAGAGATATTTTCATAAATTTTTTTTATTTATATTTTTTTCTTAATTCTAATAGTATTAAGCATATATTATATTTATCACTTATTATTTGGTTTTTACAGCATCGTCTTGGTTTTGTAAAGTTATGATGCTGTTACTGTTTTTGTAATAAATAAATAAATAAAAATAAAATATTTTAGTTATTTACATTTTAGAAATCTTATATTCGAATTTCACATGCAACGCTCACTTTATGTCTAGGTATATTATTATCGAATTGTACCTAATAAAGCCAAGAGCGGGAGCCAGGATACTGATAGCACAGGGTAACCTAGTTTGGGCTCCTGTCTCCCAGAACAATTAAAAACGCTTTAACTATTTTTGGAAGAAATTTAACTGTGTAAAATGTGGGAGAAATAAATGTTTATTATTATTATT